CTCACAAACCTACATACACCCCTCTGTCTTGCTCACTGACCTCCAGCTATATTGTCCTTTTCTTGCTTTTTCTCAAACATGTCAAACATGCCCCTGCCTCAGTATGTTTATACTTGAAACATCATCTACCAGGAATGCTCTTTTTCTGGCCTTCATTTTCACCACTGAGATGTCGGCTCAAATATCGCCATATGTAGACGACTCTCCAAGCCCTTCTACATTAGCAATCTTCTTGCTTTCCTTTTATGGCACTGGTCACCAACTGACATCACATTACATACTTGCATATTCGTCTACCTTTAAATGACTGTTTCCCCTATTGAAATGTAATCCCCAGGGGCCAGCACTGGAACACAGCTGGCAAAGTCTGCCTATAGCTCTAGCATCCCATATGGACACCGGTTCCAGTCCCAGCTGCTCCACTTCTGATCCAGCTCCCTGATAATGTGCCTGGAAGATAGCCCAAGTCCTTGTGCCCCTGCCACCCACATGGGAGACCCAGATGAAGCTCCTGCCTCCTGGCTTCCAGTTGGCCAGCCTTGGCTGTTGCGGCAATCTGGGGAGTGAACCAGTGGATGGAAGATCTCTGTCTCCCCCTCTCTCTGTAGCTCTAATTTGCAAGTAAAAATAAATAAATCTGAAATGTAATCTCCGAGGGTTGAGCATTCGTCTATTCTGTTTACTGCTTGCCAGAGAGTGGGCACTAGAGCATTTGTTAAATGACTAAGATACCTTGAAGTTTTCTATTTTCTCAAGGGATGGGATTATGAGAGCATTTCAGTAGATCAGTTACACATTTCAATTATATTAGAATTTTTGACAATCACTTTGGTTATCAGAGAAAAAGAAAAAAGAGCAAATAATAAAAAATTTAGTTTAACAGTAGTGAAAGGAAATACAATTAGCCTGAAACTATATATTTATACAAACTACTGAAAAAACTTTGAAGCTGATTGTCAGCTGGTGTGGCTTCTTGAAGATTTATTTGAAAGGGATCCCAAAGCTAAATCAGTTTCAGGAGGAAGGGTTATCATCTGAAGGATATTCTCCAAGCGAAGGGAAGAGATGAGAACACTCCATGTCTTTAAATCTTGCAATCCTTTATGTTCAGCTGACTACCTCCAAGAATACCATATCTGTATAGTCTATTTGAGATCTCCATATACAAGAGTCCCCCCAGTAGAAGAATGAAACTGTGGATAGTACCAAACCATATATATATATATATATGTGTGTGTGTGTGTGTATATATATGTGTGTATATATATATATATAATTTTTGCTCATTCTTACCTATGTATGACAAAGTTTAATTTATAAATTATGTACAGAGTTAACAACAATAATGAATAATAAAATAGAACTACTATAAGAAAATAATAAAATCGCCAGCATCATTACTCTTATGCTTTGGAGCCAATTATTAAATAAAATAAGGGTTACTTGAACTCAAGCACTGCAATACCATGACACGTGATCTGATAACTGAGACAGCTATTAAGTGACAAATGGTCAGGTAACATACACTGATGGATATGGATACACTGATCAAAGGGACAATTCTCATTCTGCTGGGATGGAGTGGGAAAACACAAAATCTCATGATGCTACTCAGAACAGCATACAATTTAAAACTTACAAATTATTTATTTCTGAAATTTTTCATATTATGTTTTTTGGACCGAGGTTGACAGAAGTACCTAAAATCATGGAATGCAAAAGCGTGCATAAGAGTAGTACTACTGTAAATGTTTAATCAGAGAGCTTAAACTTACAACTAAAACAGAACTTTTGCAGTCATTGTCTAAAATAAAAAAAATTACTCTTTATCTTCTCTATTTCTGTAATAACACCTTTCTTTCATTCATTCAGTTGCCCAGGTAAAAACTCTAGAAATTAACCTTGAGTCTCATCTTTCATTCAACCTTGACTCATATCCACAAGTGTATCTTGTTAGTTTTGTCCCTGTAGCATTTTCTAACTTTATCTGCATCTTTTCCATTTCTAAGATTAGTATTTCAGACAAAGCCTCCATGGCCACACACCTGGTCCACAGTAATAGCTCTCTAGCTGACCTGTCTGTACTTGTGCCCCCTTACAATCCATTATCCACACAGCAGCCAAAGTGACTTTTAAAAGCAAAAATAATATTTTATTATTCCTTAATGATTTCTCCTTTTCCTTGGAAAAAAATTCAAACTCCTTATCCTAGGTAATTTCCCCAGCCTATTTCTCTAATTTTATCACAAACCATTTTCTTCTTATACTCTGTATGGCAGTGGTTCTGCCATACTGACTTCCTTTGAGGTCCAAAGTTGTTTGCACCCCAGGGCTTTTATAACAGCTGGTCCCTAGACTAGAATGTTCTTCCTCTGACAAGCTCTCTTAGGACATTCAAACTTCAGCTTAAACGTCCCCTCTTCAAAAGACTTCTCTTATTACTCAATTTAAAGAAGGAACTCAGTCCTTGTATAACATTATCTTTGTACAATACAAATAATTCCTTGATATTTGAATGGTTCATTTATTGTTTTGTTGTTTCTTTCACCTATAATGAAAACAGCTGGAATCTTTGTACTACCTGGTAGGAGGATCTACTCAATAAATATCTGCTGAAGATGATTTGTGCTGTATTATATTTCAGTAAAAATCTTTCTGCATGTGTTTATTTTTACTTGTAGAATAATAGAATGAGAACAGAATTAAGTAAGAATTCATGTTAGGGATTAGAGATGGTAATGCTCTGAGGCTGAAGAAACAGGAATTTCTTTTGATTTAAATTCAACATATACCAACATTTTTGCCAGGCAGAGTCAGGGGCTGACTTCAAAACAATGGAAAAAGAGTCACAGACCTTGAAAGAAGACAATAAAATAGGCTACTTCAATACAGTAAGATGAGGCACTTAATGTGTTTTTGACACTCGGGAGGGACAAAGCTAGAGATTGAGACAGAGAGAAAGGTCTTCCTTTGCCGTTGGTTCACCCTCCAATGGCCGCCGCGGCCGGCGCACCGCGCTGATCCGATGGCAGGAGCCAGGAGCCAGGTGCTTTTCCTGGTCTCCCATGGGGTGCAGGGCCCAAGCACCTGGGCCATCCTCCACTGCACTCCCTGGCCACAGCAGAGAGCTGGCCGGGAAGAGGGGCAACCGGGACAGAATCCGGCGCCCGGACCGGGACTAGAACCCGGTGTGCCGGCGCTGCTAGGCGGAGGATTAGCCTAGTGAGCCGCGGCGCCGGGCTAATACAGTAAGTAAATACCATGAAAGCGTACTGCAATAGCTGTCACCAGTATATACTAAACCTAGCCTGGAAAGTAAAGAAACAGAAAATGCTTCTTGAAGACATCCATTTAAATTGAATCTGATCTGAAGCATGAGTAGTCATGAGACGTGTGTGTGTGTATGTGTGTGTCTGTCTGTCTTTGGGGGTAGGAAAAGGAGGAAGGCAAAAAGGCACAGTATAAGAGTTTTTTTGGATAGAAGAAATATGAGCAAATTCAGAATCCAGAGCTTGTAGCATGCAACTGAAAATAAGGTAACTGGCTCTCTCAGTTAGCATGAACAGAGAAGTACTGAGAGACTGAATGGTAAACAGGGACAATGTCCTGAAGCCCTAAGGACTTCAGACTCTCCTACAGGAAAGAAAGTCACTGAAAAAATTTAAAGCAAGATAATTTTTATATGTAACACAATTCTTATTAAAGAAAGAGTTTCAAGAGGTAGAAAGAGGTCAAGCTGGAGATTGTTAACAGTTTTCCAAGCAAGATATAAGTGAGATATATGGAAATGAGGAAAAGTGGATACAAAGATAATACTGTTAAGAAGTAACAAAGAAATTACAGTTCATAGTAACATAGCATATAGTATATAGTTTATCAACAAACAGAAGAAGCTCCAAGCCTGCAATTATAAAGTGATGTCAAAGAATGGCAAATGATGATAACCCTGTTTGGATCACTTACATTGTATACATGTGTTGAAAAGGCACACTATAGCCCCTAACAGGTACACTTGATGTTTAGACCACTTGTTTAGCAGGATTGCTTCCTTGTACATAATTTAAGTAGCACATCTTATTTTATTCAAGAATTTTAAAATAGCCACTTATGATTAATCTTAACATTGCAATTTCATTGTAATCTACTAAATTTATTCTGGTCAACAATGTACTATAAAAGTTAACATAGTCTAGCCTCAAGTATGTCTTTGGTATCATTACAAAAGTTTTATTGACAATAAAATCATATGGAAAAATAAAAACAGTCTAATTAGAACGTATAAATGTAATTAAGGTCTTTGAAGTCTGTAAAATAAAGGAACATATTCTTTTATTATTCTGATAAAAATTAAACCAATAATAAAATTGCCTCAGGAAAAAAGAACTTGAGAAACTAAAAACAGCAAACATTTATTGAAATTTTATATAACTATACACAAATACCTTTTCATGTTTATGGTTGCTATGGCTAGCAACAGAATGACAAACAGCTAAGAAGCAGATACTCTTTCAAGAATATTGTGATTTACATTTATTTTCAAATTTATTTCAGTAAAGATTTTTTTAAGACTTCTGATATGATAACGTGACTGTATAATTAAAAAGAGTTCTAGCAGAGAAAACATTGATTTTTCTTTGCATCTGAAAGTGTAATATACGGCTGTCAAAGGAATGATATTCTAACTATAATTAATACATTATATTATACTTGCAACATTTTACACTAGGGATACAGTGGTAGGTTTAAGAAAAGTATTATTGATTTGAATTATGACCAAAAAGCTTAAATGCCAGGCACCAAAAAGAATCATCAAACTGTAGACAAAAAAAAAATAAAGAGCGAACACAGAAACAATATGAAGATGACAAAATCTGCATAGGAATTTCTTAAAGACTAAGGAAAACCAATATAATAATTTGTATTTCATAGCTATAATTTAAGTAACACATCTAGCACCTAAATCTCCTTTTAACACTAAAAAGTAACAGAATAACACTTACCTTACAACTATAAGCAAAGCTATAAGGATTGAACAGATAGGATCTGCTATCATCAGACCAAAATTTTGCATCATGATGGCAGAGGCAATTACACCGATACTCCCAAGTGTATCTGCTAGAATGTGTAAAAATACACCTAGAAATACAGCATAATAAAAATCAAAATATTTCCTCATTAATTTAAAATACAAATATTTCTTGAAGCCATAATTTACATATATATAAAAAAGCAAAATATCAATTTGAACAATCAGTTACTATGCATATTCACTTTAATAACTAGGTAACAGTACAGTGTATATATAAATTGTGACTTGAAATAATCTTTATTTTTCAAATCAATGGAGGGTAAAAGATCTAGTAAATTATATTTGTTTTTAATGATATAATAGAAGAATGAGAGAAAATATTGTTTGTGAATATCTGTTTCTGACTAAAAGAGTTGAAAATTTAATTTGTTAGGGAAAGGAAACTGCATTAGGCTAAAAAAAAATTGGCCAAGAAAACATTTAACTACAAAAAATGTACACAGAGAGCCCTCTGCTGGTTATGAAAATTATTACCATTTGAGACTAGAATTTCATATAAACTACTTATCTAGATATATTTGTTATTTATCCTAAAGGTATTGTTACCTAAATTAGTTATATTCTATGCTTAATCTTAATGCAAGAAAAGGTAGCAATCTGAGTATTTTTAAATTAATATAAAATATATGTTGAACTTTCATTTATTAAAATAGAAAAATGCATGGGAAGTCATTAAAAATGTCAAGTTTCATATATAATGTTTCTAAAAAGACTTGAATGAGACAAAAAATTAGTCAACATTTATATCTTTAATAGATAAAATTTAAACTTTAACAATGACTTATTAAAACAGAACATTCTTCAACACCATCAACTACAATATTTGGAAACAACTGATGAATGAAAAGCATGTACCTACTTTAGAAAATACTTCATTTTTCCTTTTTTATTATTTACTGAGTAATAATAGGTAAACTATAATTATCTTTAGGTGTAGGAACATAGATTTACTTAAAGTAAAAAATTCTTTTAATAATTTTAAAGTTGACCATTAATATGTCCAACAGAATCTTAACATGTACCAGGAAATTATATTTCAATAAACTGCTACTGTGGAATTTTATAACTAGTTTTATACCAAATATAACTCATATCCAACTATCTACATATACTTTTTCATTTGTATAGCATTCTGACTCATAATCATTCTTCAAAAAGCTAAGGGGTCAATTAAAAAGAGAATTTTGTCAGAGAATACTTACAAAAAAATTCTAACCTATGTTATTTCAAATAGCAAGAATTAAATAGATTAATGCGTTTTGATCACTTGAACTTAAAAATTACACTGGAAAACAATCCATAGCAAAAGTTATTAGAGGATCTTCAGTTACAAACTCTTGTGTGCAATACATACTTTTAACACATTATTTTTTAAATACATTTTTAAAAATGTTTCTGAAAGGTAGATGAGATTGATTGACTACCCCATGGTCCATTTCCCAAATGCCCGTAACAGCCAAGGCTAGCTCAGGGGGAAGCCAGAAGCCTAGAACTACATCCAGGTCTCTCATGTGAGTGGCAGGGACTCAAGTACTTCAGCCATCAACTGCTGCCTCGCCAGGTGTGCATTAGCAGGAAGCTGGAGAAGCATCTTCTCAGAAGCAGAGAAGATGGTACTCAGTCAAGGCACTCTGATATGGAACTCAGGCATCCCAAGCAGCATCCTACCTGTTGCACCAAATGCCCAGGCCAAATTTTTATATTCTTTTATAAGTATTTTAAATGAGTCAGAAATTAAAATAGCTCTAAACACTAAAAAGAAAATAAAAAAGAAAAAGCTATTTGCTCTTGATTTTCCTTGGATTGGAAAGTACCTACCAGCCTCTTAATTGTTAAGCAGAACACCAGCTTTAAAGGCAAGTGTCATTAACTAAGCCTTTCTCACTTTCTAGTATCTGTTTATGAAAAAAAATCACTAAAGAAAAGAAATATAAACTGTTTAACTTACTACATAAACTTCATTCCTTAGAAGACTTTATATGATACTGACAAACAAATTCTTCCAAAAATTACTAAGTCAAGGACCACAGTCAAAATGCAGCAAATAATCTAAAAATTAGATTAACTCAAGGTTTTTCATATGTATCTGTGTGATTGTTTTACAGCCAAGTTTTAATGCCAGGCAGTTTTCTCTACTCTTCTACTATCAATTGAGATGCTTCAGTCACAATATATTGATAGATTTTTGGAAAATACAGAATCTTAAAATTTTTTTTAATTTTTTTATAAAAGACATTTTTTTTCCAAAGAGTTACAGAGAGAAGAAGGGAAAAAGGGTGAGAGAGAGAGATCTATCTGTTAGTTCAGCCCCAGGTTGCTGCAAAGAACATTTGCAATGACTAGTGCAGGGCCAGGCCAAAGCCAGGAGCAGGAGCTTCATCCGCCGTCTCCCATGTGGGTGGCAGGGACCCAAACACTTGAGCCGTTCTCCACTGCTTTTCCCAGACTATTATCAGGGAACTGTATCAGAATTGTAGTAGTTGGAACATGAACCATTGCCTATATGGGATGTCAGCACTGAAGGCAGTGATTTAACCTGCTATGCCATAATGCCGGCCCCAAGAATTTTCAGATTTTTAAAAAATTCATTTTTATTTATTTGAAAGGAAGGGAGACAAAGAAAGAGAAGCAGACACTGGTTCAATCCCAAATGCCTACAACAATTGGTGCTGGGCCAGGCAGAAGCAAGGAGCCCAGAACTTAGCTTAGTCTCCCATGTGAGTGCCAGGGTCCCATGTAATTGAGCCAACACTTGTTGCTCAGTTGCATCAGCAGAAAGCCAGAGCTGGAAGAACAGCCAGGATTTAAACGCAGATATTTTAATACAGGATGTGGGTATTCCAAATAGTGTTTTAATCACTGTTTTAATCACCCTAGAGTTTATTGTCATAAAAGCTTTTATAAAAATAATTATGAAGGCAGATCTTTCTTTCCTCCAACATATGATGATTCTCAAAACTAAAAATTAGCAAGGCTAATTTATAACACTTAATATATATGGATCAAATATGCATGAAAACAAGCTATTTAAGCAAATGCTGTTTTAAAACAATTCTAAATATTTTATATTGGAACATTAGTGACTGAAAGATATATTTAAGCCTGATAAAAATAAATTTTTCAGAATTGAGGACCACATTCACAGTGAAAATATAAAAAGTTTCATAAAGAAATAGTGGACAAACAGGTGCAATGGAAATTAGATCAGAGGCTACTGAAAAAGTCAGATTGAAATCAAATTTAATAAACATAGTGAGACAGGGAGCTTGGATTGAAGAAACCTTGACAACAAAGTCTAAGTAGAAACTCAGAACCAATGATTGGTTCATATTTCAAAAAAAAGAAAACTACAGTTTATAGACAAGACTGATTTTCTCTGACTTGTATAACTTTTAATATATCATGATCTGGAGCTTCTGTTCAGGTATCATCAGTTGACACCTACAAATATGATGAAGGTCTCATTCTGCATTACATGTTTAGCTCTGAGCTCTCTTACAGCATAACAATATTCGAGTAAATTATGCAGTAATTCCATGAAAACAAACGTACTATTTTACGCACACAGACCTGTGTTTATAGTACATTTACCTACAGTTAAGTAAGATAGTTTCTGAGTATTTTTTTAATTAAACCTAAGAAAGTGGCAAAAGAATATCTGCTAGTATACCTCATAACATATATAAAATAATCACCAAGAAGTCTGTTTAAACATAAATATTAAGTCATGTATTTTTTTTAAAGGAAAACATCAGAGAACTCAAAGCTATGAAACTACTTTTATAAAACTGAGAAACATACAAATTGCTTGTCATACCTTGCAAAATCTGTCTGCTGGGTCCTGGCGCTTCTTTTAAAGAGGGACCATCTGTAGAGAATTAAGTTAAATTATTTTAAAACATATCTTCAATTCTGACTCAAATTTTTCAATTCAAAGTCCTTTTCATTCAAACGTATCATTAAGGATGAATGAATATATAGCCACATCACACCTAAAAAATATTTTTAAAAATTTAATAAAGTAATTAAGTATAGGTAAATCCAGCAGAGGCAGTTTTAAAATATATCAATGGTACAGAGTATTTTGGAAATTGTATCAAAGAGTTAAAAGCACAGGAAATTAACAACACTGTCAATATCTTCAATATGCCTAAAATATCCTCTGCAGTCTTACAATTGAAAAATTCAGATAAAATCAAAGCTATAAGAGGTCCAAGAAATGAAACCAGGACAGAATTTAGGATACCCTAAGACAAACATCTGCTTTTCAATATATTTTATATGTGTCAAGCATTTCATACAGAAGAAATAAGATTCTTTATAAAATTTTAACCTTATGGTAAAAAAGATGAAAACATTGATATAATTTCTACTTAAATACTTTGATGATTACAGGTCAGCTTTAACATAAAAGCAGAATATAGGTAAACAAGGTAAAAGAAGAGCAACACTTGTATTAAAAGATTATCAGGAAGACTGACAAGCTTTCTGATCACCACTAAATGAGTACCAGCCTGTACTCACTGGTTCTTGACCCACAGCAGCAAGAGCCCATGTATGCTTATCACTCACTACTGCTTTGACAGAGTACCAACACAATGATCTGCAATAAGGCGACAGCAAAACACAAAAGCATAAGGCTACACAACCCTATTTTCTGACTACATATGGCGATGTAGGAAGGAAAAAGAAGCTACCCAGAATGCTTTGCTGATACTCAAAAGTGGCACTGTTTTAAAAATGAAACTACTGATCAAGGCATCAGACGGCCCTTTCTAGTAATAGGTCTAGATAAAGACATTTAAAAAAAAAGATATATTAATTTGAAAGGTGGTTATATAGAGAGAAAGAGACAAAGAGACAGAGACACACAAATGGAGAGAGTGATCTTCCATTCGTTTGTTCACTCCCCAAATAGCTACATTTAGCCTCGTCAGACCAAAGCTAGGAGCCTAGAACTTCATCTGTGTCTCCCATGTAGGTGGCAGAGACCCAGGTACTTGGGCCATCTTCCACTGCTTTCCCAGGTGCATTTGCAGGGAACTTGATTGTAAATGGAGCAGCCAGCACTCGAACTGGTGCCCATATAGGATGCCAGTGTCACAGGCAGCGGCTTAACCTACTGTATCACAATGCCTTCCCCAAAACATTTTCAAAATCACTATTTTAAAGAGTAGATTCTGCTATGCTAATGAAATAGTTAAAAAATACAAAAGGTCTTCAAAAGGTTCGTGGAAAATGTACATTATGAAAAAGCTATGCATGGATTTCAATTTTTTTAACCAAAATAAACTTATCTCTTAATCTCATTCTTCCACAAACTTTTTTAAGTACTTGTGTGCAACTTCCATCAAAATGAAATCTAGAACCCCTCCCAGATAACCAGTATGTTATCACTAGTTGCTTAGCAAACCCATTTCTTTTTCCTGTTGGGTACGCAACTAGGCTCCATTTCCTATGCTCCCTTGAGTTAGATGGTGCTCTAACACTGAGTTGCAGACAAAGAAATTTGACATGCAAACCATTGCCAGGCTCCTAAGAACATCTAACATAATCACCTATGTATTTTCTCTCCAGTTTGAGGCAAAGAATCCACTAGAACCTTCCACCAGTTAGGAATTCCATAAATGGAAGGAGTCTGGATCCCCAAACTGCTATGAGTAAGTCCTCACTTTCCCTATCCTAACAACCTAAAGGCGATTTATTGCTTATGTTACTGAAACTTAAGTGTTTTTTTTTTTTTAAATATAGCTTGCTACACTCACAGTGTAGGACTTCAGTAAATATGAAGCTCACAATATTTTCTTGTGATAGTAGAATGTCTCTTAGAAGCAAAATGAAATCATATTCCTTTTACCTTTGTACCCATACCTGGCTTACACAATATTTAGGGCAGAATGACAGATAAGAACACAAATTTTTAAAGTCAGATTCTTTGTGCTCAAATCCTAGATTTTCTATTTACTAGTACTTATGACCTCTTTGCGTGCTTCAGTTCTTTATTTAGAAAATGGGGACAACAGCTGTATCTACCACATCAGAATAAATATTTAGAGTATTTAAAAACTTAATGTATGAGAAGCACTTAGAACATGCCTGGCACATGAATGAAAATTTAAAACTCCAAGCAATAGCCAATACTCCTGTTGACAATAATGGTAACTGGAATACAAGATGAGTTTACTGTACGTATTGTATGACTCTGAACAAATGTATTTGATGAAATTTTTAAACATTTGTCTCTAGTCTACCAAAATAAGTACTGTATTAAAACCTAAAACATGCCTTTTCTAGCAATGTTTTTTCTTTTTTTTTTTTTTAGGTCTTCCTTCCATTGGTTCACCCCTCAAATGGCCGCCATGGCCGGCACGCTGCGCCGATCCGAAGCCAGGAGCCAGGTGCTTCTCCTGGTCTCCCACCCGGGTGCAGGGCCCAAGGACCTGGGCCATCCTCCACTGCACTCCCGGGCCACAGCAGAGAGCTGGACTGGAAGAGGAGAAACTGGGACAGGATCCGGTGCCCCGGCCAGGACTAGAACCTGGGATGCCAGAACCGCAGGTGGAAGATTAGCCTAGTGAGCCGCGGCGCCGGCCTTTTCTAACAATTTTTAAAAATTACATCTTGTATACCTCCTCACCAAGTAATCCTAATCTCATTTTCTAATCTAAAATGCTCCAAAATCTGGTTTAGGGATGTTCAGGAAGTAAAGGCTATGCAAATATTCTAAAAATTTGAAAAAATTCAAAATCTGAAACATTTCGGACAAACAATATGCAACTTACGTTATTTGGCTTTATGGGGTTTGGAGGTGGAAGAGAAATTAAACCTGGAGAAGGATTTTTCAGCATTTAATAAGATTTAAAAACAAATATAAATAGCACTTAAACATTCATGAACCCAGTGTTTAATAAGTTGTTCCTATATGCTAGGTCTGTGCTAGACTCTGTTAATGGATAGTTGCTCCTTTTCGTTTCAATTTTGTCTATGTTGAATCTCATAAACAGTCAGTTGAAATTCTAGGATAATTACAGGATCACATGATTATGCCATGTTATACATCATGCAAAGTAATCACTGATTACAGTGGGTAAAAGAGTGGTTCAGAGTTTAAGGCAAGGATAAAGGAAGTGCTGGAGCTGAGAAGAATAAATGCACGGGACTCTATTTGTAGATTCACAAAAATTCAAGCTTTTCTAAAACAGATCTGCCTGAGAATTCCTCAAGGCCATGCAACTTCTTGCTGATCTACTCTTCTCCTTCTTGACCAAATATACCTACATTTCACCTAAATGGAATCTAACTGCAGTGCACTGCTCATTGTATTAAAAAAAAATTCTACAGCAACAGACAAGGAGTCACTAGAAAATGTTGGTGGCAATGTAAGGGAAAAAAGGCTTTAATAATGGATTAACAAGTCCATTTATAAGCCATGTGGTTCCCAATTCTTTGCTTTGATTAAAATGTAGGGATTAGCTAATAGAACACAGAATTAATAAATTAACAAAAATTTTTGATTCTAGATCATTGTAGATTTTGGAACTTATTTATAAAAGTGTTTAAAAAATTGAAACTGTTATAGTATTGCTCTATTTAAGTTTTCTTAGCATTGTAAAGATGAAAAATGGGAACTGAATTGATATAAAATCCTGCTTTATGACATTTAATTATTTCTCTATAAAAAAACAGAAAAAAGAGCTCCAGTTATCTAATTAAGATACATATTTCAAATATGAGACAACATGGAAATGGAATTGAAAGCTAAGTACATTCTGATGCAAAAAGTTTTTGAAATCCATCCACAAAGTGAATTTTCACAACGTTGAAGATTTCATATGCATGGATTTCAAAATTTTTATTCCAAGGTAAATGTATCTTTTAATTCCAAGAATGATGAAGTTTCATTCTAAAATGTAACCTAAAATGTGTCAGAAATTACATTCTTTGCAATTGTTAGACCAAAATTTAAAAGAAATGATCTTGTAAATGTGTGAAGGATATACAGTTTTTCAAAATTATTTTGGGATGCTTAAAGCAAAGTAATTGGAAAACTAAGGTTTCAAAGCATTTTTGTAATCATTACAAAAATAAGGCAAATTTTAGAATAACCCAGGCAACAAATGCAAAAATAGACCAGTGGGATAACATCCAAACAAAAAGCTTCTGCACAGTAAAGGACATAAACAAAAGAAAAAGACAACTGATGGAATGGCACAACATATTTGTAAACTACATATCTGATAAAGAATTAATGTCTAAAATATATACACAACTCATATATCTCAGGAGCAGAAAAATAAATAACCCAACTGAAAAATGAATGGAAATCTTTCCAAAGAGGACTCCAAATGGCCAACAGGGATATGAAAAGGACAAGCTATGACATCTCACACCTGTTAATAAGTGTCGGTGAGAATGTGGAGAAAAGGGAACATCTGTACACTCTTGGTGGGAATGTAAATTAGTGTAGCCAGTATATACAACACAATGGAACTTCCTAAAAAAGTTAAAAATAAACCACTGTATGACAGCAAACCCACTCTGGAAATTTATGCAAAGAAACTCAAATTAGGATCTCAAAGAGCCATCTGTACTTCCATGTTCACTACAGCATTATTCACCATAGTCAAGACATGGAAGCAATCTAAAGTTCCATCAAAAATCAATGCATAAAGAAAATGTGGTGTGCACAAAATGCACAAATATATAATGGAATATTATTCAGCCTTAAAAGAGAAGGAAATTCTGCTACTTGAAAAAAGCATGGATTAACTTGGAGAACATTATGCTAAGCCAGATAAGAATGACAAACATTACATGATACCACTTACATGAGGAATTTAAAATAGTCAAATTTATAAGGAGTAGAAT